TAATCGTTTCTGTTCAGTATTCACAACCGAGTTATTCACGGCAGTCGGTAATGAAACGAAAGTAACCTACTCACATTCCAGCAAACGGATTAAAATGACGCAGACTCATTATAGATATTAGTCAACATTAACGTATCGCACTCGGGTCATCTGGGGTCATCTGCTACCGGTTCACGCGTTGGGTGAGGTTCACCTACCGAGCACCCCGAGCCGGTAGTTGAGGGTGACCACCACCACGGCTCCGAAGCTGGCCAGTACGGAGCCGTCCACGCGTTACGGGAGCCGTACGAGAACGACTCGCCGTGCACATACACCATGACTGGATAGCGGGCGCGCGCATCTCTCCTGGAACACAAGGGGACGTATCGGTTAGGTGGGTTTATTAGACACAAAAATACAGGTGAAAAAAGAAAGAAAAGAAAAGAAAAGAAAAAAAAGAAAAGAAAGAAAAGAAAAGTGAAAAGACGGGTCACTGTGTCTCTGAGGGGAGGAGGTATGTGGGAACGGGCAGGTATATGGGGAGGGGATGATCAAGAGAGTGCAAAAAAATACGTGGAACCTCTTAAATGTGCGAGATAGACAGGTCACTAACCATGGGCACTAGGCAGGTTCGGTGCGAAGTTTGACGTTAACTGATTCATGTAAGATCGATCAAGATTCTCCACATGGGATCACCCAAATATGTACATATAAGTCGCAGCAACAGGTGCCATTAGTCGAATTACTACCAAGTCAGTCGCCGCTGCCGAGAAGCAGCCTTGCAGCTGGCGTTCATCCATTTTTAAACCCTCATTAAGTGGCGAGTCGGTTGGTAAAGGGAATTCATTCATAAACATTGGAGCTTTTAAGCGTAGTACGAGCATGCTATCATCAAAAACTCAGTTCTCAATTATGCCCCAGTCAACTAAGTGATGCCATGAAACGTACCTAATTCAGTGAAACATATCTGGAAAAAAATGTTGGTAGAGTTTTTGCAATAGTTTAAAAACATCGTCACAAATTTAGTCAGTATACTTGACACTTTCATCTGTTTTACAAATTTGGGGTAAACGCATCCGCTCAAAGAGGCGTTTTGTAGTACGTAATTACACGGTACCTACACATTCTACATAGCTCCGGTGTCAGCATGGAGGAGCGTCTCTGGCCTGCCTGCCGTCGTCCAGGGCAGGGTGGCACGAAGCCGCCCGTTTCGCAGCGCCGTACCCTCAGACACGAGCAGCGCCGTATATAAAGGAACACGCTGCAGCGTCTCGTTCCTACGGAACAGCCGCCCCTGCAGCTTTATCAAAATGCATCACCGCAGTGCTGATGAGACATTGTGAATGGATGGGCTCGCCACTGGACTTCGGCCGCCAAATTTACAATATGAGGAATTTTCAGATGAACTTCGAAGTTAGATTCGCTCTTTACTCAGCTGGAAGCTGGCCAAATCCAATTTCTCATATTGATATACTGGGCAGGATAGCGCCCGTAGAACTCCAGGCCACGGCTAGAGTACGATATGAATGTGACGCCGTACAACCTTAGACCTCGGGGTCAGGACGATTACCTCCAGAAGACCGGATATGTTGCTAAGTGAGTCGGGGTCACTAGAGTTTGTATTGATGCGCTCCAGAGCCGTGGTCAGTTAGAGCGATTGCTGTGGCTCGGACCAATTTTGAGGAAGTAAAAATAGCAAGCAGCTAGCGCATTTTCGAGGGACGTGAGGTACCGAAGCGTGAAATATCTAAGAAATGACGCTGTCAGTGAAAATAAAACGTTTTCATGACTCCAACCTTATAACGCACCAAACGTTTAGAATATAGAAACGGCTGTATTAGTCACCTGGGCATACCAAATGCAATTAGGAAACATTTTGAATTATCTTTTTGGTGGCATTTTGAAATTCTGAAAGCTTTTACGGATGTTGTTTTTTTTAGAAAGAAGAATTTGACTCAGTGATGCGGCAGAAAAAAGGAAGCGCTGGTAGATATTTACGAAACCATGATCAAATACTAATTTAAAGTTTAAGTTAAAACCCTCGCCCGTATAGGGGGGGGGGGTCGACCGCCCCCCCCCCTCCTCGCTTTTTTGCGAATAACTCGCGTAAAAAGCGGCTGATCGCGACGGAACTTTCAGTACCCTCGCGTTAATTAATTTTACACCTACCCTGAAATTTCATGACCCTGACCCTAATGACCTTTGACCTGTGACCTACTTTTCGAAACCATGTTTGGCCGGAATCGCGATTCGGCGTATGTCGGCTCGCATTAGCCGCGCGTTTGCAGTCTTTTCGTGGTTTTAAGCATTCAAACATGGGATATGATGTTGCTCCCATGCATTAGGGTGGGTGTCAAGGTCACCGGAAGGTCAGGTCAGGTCATTGACCTTTGATGACCTCGGTTCACTTTTTCGAGTTTTATATGTTTCTAGGCCAGTTTTTGGAGCTGAATTCGAATTAAGCAGCCATATGAACATTTACGAAGTAGTTTTGGCACCTTCGTAACATGTTACGAAGCTGTCAGAGGCGGTTGCCATCTACTACGAATACCCTTACTGGTTGACCTGACCTGACCTGACTCGACCTGGCCTAAATGCATGAAGACATCATCTCTGATCAAAACTAACATGATATTCGTGATCAGCACCCCGAAAAACCCCATAGCAGCCATGCTTTACGACTTTCTAACAGGTCCCGATTTTCCTGACTTTTGGGTCATTGACCTGACCTGGAAGGTCAACCGATGACCTAGGACCTTAAAAATTGGGTATCATCGGCTTCCTCTCGTCACGGGCAGCACGCTCGTTTTTTCCGCGAAGCTCTAGCTCGATCAGGGGCGAAACGGCAAGGGGGGTCCTTATACGTTCGCGGCTGGAAAACACCAATACGGGCGAGGGTTAAAAGTTTTCAAATTAAAACATATTCAAAAAAGTATGATCAGTAAAAATAACGTCTCCTTGTGGGCTCTTAAAGTTTTTTCTTCTCTTTTTTTACCGATGCCGGGATAAATTGTGAATGATTTGGCTCAGGCCTAACTAGCTAAATATTCCTTTTAAAAACATTGTCAAGTCACACAAGTTTTGCGCAAGTCTCAGTTTAACCAGACGTTCAATGTGTTGTAGCGACCGCAGGAAATCAGTCGTCGGAAAGGCGAGTCAAGGCTCTCACGGCATTGGGCAAGGTCAGAGCCAACGCCCCTGTCCCGTATAAAAGGTGCAGCAGGCGCACAGTCGGCACACACTCACTGGTCTACTCTCCCAGCAGACAGAGCAACAACCAACCGCAGAGATGAACGCCAAGCTTGCGGTAAGCTTACTGTACAATTTGCACAGCTACATTCACTTCCAGAGCTTTGCTACTGCGCATGGTAATTTCTTGGCACACTTTACATCAATGATAAAGTTTCATCTTAAAATGCAATTGATGTACATATCTACTCGTAAGTATATTAATTCAACAAGCGAGAAATATCATGACTTAGATTTACCTTACGGAACGCCAGCCGCACCACTACGGCATTTATATATCAGCTCTGGGGACGGTCATTCATATAGATTCTGTTACTACTGTTCATGAGCTCATGCAATTTTCCATGTTAGTTAGCCACATAAGTAAACTTTTTTTCATTTTCAGCTGCTGATGCTGGCTGCCCTGGTGGCGTGCGTCTCTGCATCCCACCCTGGATACGGATACGGTGGATACAGTGGATACCACCGTGGATACGGTGGATACGGACACGGTCTGAGCCACGGATACTCCGGATACCGTCATCGCCGTTCTCTGGCCTACGGACACGCTGGATACGGATACGCTGCCCCTAGCTACGGATACGCTCCCCGTTCTTACGGATACAGCAGCTACGGACACGGTCTGAGCCATGGCTACGCCGGACACCGTCACCGCCGTTCTCTGGGCTACGCCAGCTACGGTCACGGATACGCTGCCCGTAGCCACGGATACGGATACGCTCCCCGCAGCTACGGATACTCCAGCCACAGCTACGGCTATGCTCCCGTCAGCTATGGCTACGGCCATTAAACTTGTAATTGGCCGCCTGTTCTTTGTGTTTATGAATCGTTGTTCATTGGTATTCCGAAGATACAGAATGACATTCTGCAAAAGTCGAACTTAACTGTCACCTAACATCCCGAACGTCTTGAATAAATTTCAGAACATACGCCTGTATATAAGTTATTGTGCGAGTTGGTGAGAGGCTTGGTGTTAACTTACTTCAGCAAAACAGAAGTGAAAAAGCGAATGAATAGGAATCAATTCACCGGCTTTCAAGGAATTGCCATGGCACCACTAGCAACTTCGGTCAGCGTTACCACCTCAAAGTAGGAGAACGCAAAAACTAGGCCAATTTGACTTTATTATCATCGCATCCATAGATAGTCCGTTAGTCTCGGAAAAAGGGTGGCGTTTTAAGGACTTCTGTGTGCTCTCTGTAGTCTGTGTATTCTCTGTGCAGACTGCGCAGATTTAGTCAAATTAGGTGCATTAGCCGGATAGTCCGTCGTGAAAACGGCTATTGCCCTACATTCCGCTGTTTCTGGCCTGAGGATGTACGTTTTATGACGTCATAGGTCCGTTACGTAACAAGACCCGGCTATTCTAACCAACATATCGGGAAGGGCTGCTCCATTCGGATACTGAAACATTCAGAAATTGATTCGACAAGTGAAGCGGCATTCAAGAAGCCATGTACAGACTGGGCCCATAAAATGGGCAGATGGGTGAATTGATTCTCGACTCTTATTGTAGCGGTGATGACTACCTTATCGATTAACCTTCACACTGGTGCAAAGAGACTGCGGAAGTGGGCGTTTTGGGCCACACTGTCCAGTTTTTTTACGCGTTTAAAGAAGCCCGCGGCGTGCAGCGCCGCGAAACTTGGTATATTTTATCGTACATCAGTAGTAAAATTTGTGAATTAGTCTGCAAAAAATTGATTGCAGGTCACCTAAGGCTAGGGAACCAGATCAATTTATATAGTCATGCGTCTAGAAACTGTGATCATGTCATTCTTACAGCTTATCTCCTGCTGATATAAGTAGACAGGTTGAGAAGACATCACTTGCCCCATTACGGGACAATTAATGTGTTTTATTCTCTTGATAACGATTTAACGACTAGAGATTAACGAGTTGCGATTTCATAACGATATTAGAGTAACGAAAGGTTTTAACTGTGTTTACACTCTCAGCTTATCTCCTATGATAGTTTGAAACTCGGTGAATTACGTGAGACAGGATATCAGTTTAAACAAGTTGTAGAGTCGCCGTGAAATTCGTTATAGCTTTTGGCTCATCAAATTTGTATCGTGCGTAAAATTTTTGACCCCAGGTCACATACAACTACAGGTCACCAGGGCAAGTTGAGTAATCATGCCTCTAAGAATTGAGTTCATATTAGCCGTTTTCACGGTTTTCACGACGGCCATCTGGTACACATTTGGTGCACATCTGGTACAGATCAGGTGCAGATTTGGTCAAATCAGGTTCAGTGTGTCTCTTAGCACCTATCAGCTAGGGTTGCACTAATTGCTTATACGCCTGCTTTGTCATATTATCAGAGAGCATCATCGATTAAAACACTGAAATATATTCATAAAATGAAGATATTTGCTGTAAAAGAAATTAGGTGCAGATTTGGCCAATCAGGTGTATTCGCCGGATAGCCCGTCGTGAAAACGGCTATTATTCACTAAACCTGATCTTCTATAGGTAGCTTTGAATCTCGGGGACTTGCATGAGGGTATATCAATACCAACAATTTGTATTTTTCGGATATTCTAGGATATTTTATATCTGCAACCTGGGGTCATATCAAAGTTGTGACCTTAGTATTATGAGGTAATAGAGAAAAGCACAAATGCCTAAACAAACACGTCAAAACTTCAAGATATTTACACACAAAAAAACATTATACGCATGTGCAATAGGCAGGGTGCAGTCACTGCAGCTGATGGCCACCGGTTACTCAAAAGGTCATGTAAGGTCAGCATTTTTCGCAGTTACTCTTGGGACACAAGAAGGGCAATGAAATTAGGTGGAATGTGTTCAGGTCATCAATATGGATCGATTGACATGCAACACGACTTTTACTGGTCAGGACATGACCTTGACAGAGGAAAAATTTGAATTTGACCTTTCCACATCAGTATCTTAATTCATCTGACGCGTGTCGATGGGCATCACGGTAGCAAAATGGATGTCATAACATCGCTGATTCAAAGTTATAGCCAAAATTGTTAAAAAACTTGTTCAGCAAAGCCTGTCTATTTTCGTGGTCTTTGCCCTTTGTGGGTGAAACCGTTGACCTGAGGTCAAATCTTAGAAGATGCCGGCAAAAAAAGTTTTGAATAACTGTCAAATGCAATTTTCGACGACCTTTTAGCCCACGAATTACGCAGTACACATCTTGTTATTTTTTGAAAATAAAATTGTCAAAATCAGGGGTAAATTGGTCATAGCTTTGCGGGGACTTCCAGTGACCGAAACGATGACCATCGAAAAATAAATTGAGAAATTCTGAAAGATTGAATGATGACTGTTTTAACGTCTTTTTAGCTAGCTATCCCAGATTTGGAGACATCGTGTGATACCCCCTTCCCCTCCCACCACCATGGTGAGGTTGCCTCAGACCCCCATCGGGCGAGGGTTAATTACGGGAAAGGGCAGTGCACTGATGCGGAGTCGGACGACTCCGAAAACGTGGATGCAGCAACAAGGTCTTCATAGTCTTTTACGAATGGGCAGCTTTTGTCCTCACAAGATATTCCCGTCGCTGTGAATGTGGTTCCTATCGCCGGGAAGGTGCAGCCCCAAAGTCAAGGCCTCGCAGCACCGGGCAAGGTCAGAGCCGACGCCCCTGTCCCGTATAAAAGGTGCAGCAGGCGCACAGCCGACACACACTCACTGGTCTACTCTCCCAGCAGACGGAGCAACAACCAACCGCAGAGATGAACGCCAAGCTTGCGGTAAGCATGCCGTCGCCTGGCTAAACTATTGCTAATGACAAAATACCCGCTTCATTCTTTATTTAGGTAAAGCTATAGGCAGTTTCAATATGTGCCAATTGCTTCTGGGCACTATATTTGTTCAGTCATCATGCTTGTTTGCATTTTCAGCTGCTGATGCTGGCTGCCCTGGTGGCGTGCGTCTCTGCCTCCCACCCTGGATACGGATACGGTGGATACGGTGGATACCACCGTGGATACGGACACGGTTTGAGCCACGGATACTCCGGATACCGCCATCGCCGTTCTCTGGCCTACGGACACGCTGGATACGGATACGCTGCCCCTAGCTACGGATACGCTCCCCGTTCTTACGGATACAGCAGCTACGGACACGGCCTGAGCCATGGCTACGCCGGACACCGTCACCGCCGTTCTCTGGGCTACGCCAGCTACGGTCACGGATACGCTGCCCGTAGCCACGGATACGGATACGCTCCCCGCAGCTACGGATACGCCAGCCACAGCTACGGCTATGCTCCCGTCAGCTATGGCTACGGCCATTGAGTTACGATTTTTCCGTTCATGAATTGATGTTTTCAATGTTTGTATTCACACCAAGTCTCGACTACACCACGGAATATATAGTCTACGACATGGAATGGACAAAACGAACTTTTCCTGTAACTGCTGAGTTTTTGGCTATCTGGCAATTTTAGGTGTGCTGCTGTGGTTTTGGCACTTCCGTGCTGAAGGACGCCATGAGTTTTATCTCATTCATAACAATATATTCTGGATTAACATTTTTAATTTCGATATTAATGAGCATGAAGTTATTTCTTTTCACTCTAATAACTTAAATTACTATTATAAAACTGTAAAACTATGTATGGATGTATTTGAGTCTGTCCCTGTTGGCGGGTTATTGTTTCGAAACTGTGCGAACTGCGCCGGTGAAATTTTCAAAGTCAAAGGCCTGCAAAGATTGGTTGTATTAAAATTTGGAGCGCGCACGACGCTCGGTTTCCACACTGGAGGAGCATCTTTTGCTGCACTCGGCTTGCATTCGGGTAGGTGCTTTTATCGCCAGTGCTTTCATCGCCAGGCTACCAGACGCCGTTAGCAGCACAATTCGGGCCGACACGCGCGCAAAAGGCCTGCAGATCTGGCCAGCATCATGGCGCGGTCAGTGCTGAGTGACGAATGTGTTCTCGGCAGCAGCGGGTGTGAGACGCCAAGACACCGGCCGGTCGGTCAGACCAGCGGGTCGCCACGGTCCACGGCGGTCCGGGCACGGCGTTATTAGACCTGCAGCAAGACCGGTCACCTCGCCAGGAGCTGCATAAACGTCGAGGAAACAGCGTCAGCGCGAGCGCCGTCTCCCAGTCAGTAGCTCGCGCACTTCCGGTCGTGATATTTGCACGGAGAGCACTGTTCTTGTGGTGTGGTCAGCCTATCACTTATCTCCCCCGTGGCCGGATGACTGCGGCCGGCGGCGGCATGGCTGAAGCAACGAGTGAATGATCTGACGAAAGGCTGGGATGACACCACAGATGATGTCGAGCTGCGTGCGCAGGCCAGCTACTTCACAGAGCGTGTGACCCGCGCCGGCCCAGCGCGCGGGCCGTGAAGAAAGGCTGGGATGACACCACAGATGATGTCGAGCTGCGTGCGCAGGCCAGCTACTTTACCGAGCGTGTGGCCCGTGCCGGCCCAGCGCACGGGCCGTAAAGACTGACGGGCCGTCCTCTGGCGTCCTCCGTGCATGGTGGCGACACTGCGATGCAGTACCTGGAGGGAGAGCCGAAACACCAATCAGTCCTCCGGAGTGTGCCTTCGTTTACTGTTCAGAATAAGCGGTTGAAAAAAACACCGACGAATGTGCTGACATGATAGTCCACAGAGAGGAACGGAATGGCGATTCTACTGCCGCGACATTTTCTACCGCTAGATGGCAGGAAGAGCGAGCGCCTGAAGTTATGCTGTACCGCAAAGCTTTAGAGATCGAGAATCGCCGCCAGCAGTGAGGAAAATGGCTCCAGATATAGAGCTGTTGAAAGAGCTGCCATTCGTGGTTCCGAATCTAACGGCTTTCAAACTGCAGGGCATGCTTCGGCCCTATCCTTTACCTACCAGTGAAATGCGCGCGATCTTGCTCGACAGCGTCAGCTGGTACCGCGGTCGCCGCATCGACGGGTCTGGCTGGCCCCTCAGGGGCGACGGGAAAATCGCCGTCACTCGTCGGTGTCGGGGCAGGCTGGTGTGCCTAGACCGAACCTGACAAAGGCAAAGCGCGTGTCTGCATGAGGGGTAACGAGCAGCGAGTGTCATGTACCAATTTCCACCTGAGCCGAGCTCCACTATTCAACCCTCTGTTAAGTTCAGAAACAATAAATAGCACTTCGACAACGCTGTCCGTTTTTCTTCACCTCGTCTAACAAAATCGATTCCAGCTAAAATAAAAAAACGCTTCCTGAATTCATTCAATTCAGGAATTTGTTTTAAATTCGAATTCAAATTTGATTCAAATTTATTCAATTCAATTGGAATTTGATTCAAATTCATTCAATTCATTCAATTCGAACTTTTTTTTTAAATCGTGGAACAGAGAGATCAGAAGCATGTTTCTGTCCGTGTGACTGGACGGGCGGTCGGCGGTCACAATAGCGCAAAGGGTAGAATAATTGTATTAATAACTAACTAATACATAAATAAATAACTTATTGCTATAAAAAACTTTTTTTAAATAATAAGGCGATACAAACTTACCCGGCAATGGCCAATGTGCCTGCAGCCAGAAGCAGCAGCTCCACTGGCGAAGGATACCATCAGCCGGTTGCGCTTCGCTTTTGCGGGGCCGGCCGGGCCGGGTCGGGTCGTAGGCAGCCACGGATGCAGCCTTCTCGGTAAAGTAATCTTGGCCTTCTCCGGTGTCTAGACAGTTGCGATTTTGATATCGCCTTTTGGCAGTAGCCGCAGTGAACCGCGCTGGGCCACATCACTTTTTAAGCTCACAAATTCGCGATAAAAAACGCCAATCCGCAAACTCATTCATACTCCTATCACAATAAAAAAGTACAAAAAAAAAAATCAAATGAATGAGAAGATTAACGGTAAATCACCGTTACCAGTACTAAATAAGCCGTCGACTCTATCCTTGAATCACTGCTGCACAAGAATGTCGAATTTTGTTTAGGTCAAGGCCATGTTTAGGTTGTCGAGTTTTGTTCGTGGTTTTGCGAAAAATATTTGATTTTCTAGCGCGAGAGCACTGTGTGCGTTTATAATACGGGCGCCTCCTTGGTTACTTTCGAGTTACACGTTTAACGTGGTTAAATCGCGATCTGTCCATTCCATGTCGTAGACTAGTTATATATTCCGTGACTACACCATGACAAATGGAAAATCCAGTTGAACATCGTGACGATGTCAGTTCATCGAATACACTACTGTGAAGAACGATTTGGTAGTAAGAGAAGCATTTTATGGGTCAGGCATTGCGGTTACTCTTTAAAAATGGGACCGACCGAGCCGGGTGACAGCGGTAAGCGTATATAAAGTAGAGCCATGACTGCATTACACCCGCGGTGACACGGATTGGCAGTGCTGTGCCATGGTCCATTGCGCATTACGCACGCCGCGCCGATACGGTTATCCCGATTTCTCGGACCCGCCCGGGCCGAGTAGCTGCTCCGAGACGTAAAGTGAGACCGTTCCTCCGGGACATGCCACCACACCGAAGGATCTATTTAAAGGCGAATCAGGCCCTTGTTCCCACAGCCGGAGCGCCGTCTGGTACAGCGTTAATCCCAGCGACCGAGCGAACGTTCGCCATTAATTGTCATCTCCTGAGTAGCAGCCGGTCCAGAAAAGGCTACCAAAGTTCACCTTTGATTCAAAGACCTCTTGCAACGAACGTGGGTGAACTAGCCAGCTGTGCTACATTTTTTTTATAATGGTTTTTTATATGATGTAGTGTTCAAGGCATGCGTGCATTATTTCTGATTTTATCGCGTAAGATTGGGACCGCTCCAAATGAACGGCACATTTTGTAGGAATCTATGCGTTAATTTATTTGCCCATTATGACAAAAGACGGTTAGGTATGCAATATGTAGAGTTGTTCTATTTCCACCAAAGATTTATGTAAACTGCGGCCACCTCATTGAAGCATCGAGGACTTTAATTCCCCAAAGAGCAGAGAAGCAGAGCAGACATAGTCGGGGTCGTGGAAATAGACGAGGCATGGCGCCCACTGTAAATCAAACCCATGGATCCAGGTGAGTAATGTAACTCGACATTTCCAACAACTGCGCCGCTACTATTCTGTCAGCCTTTGTCATTTGCAGGTTATGGAAAATGTTACTTTTTTCTCCTTTCTACACACCTTACATATTTAGGTATAGCACCTGCCGACAAAGTTGGTAGCTATTCAACATGCTACATGAAATATAAGATCATAAAGTGAAACTAAACTTATAATGTCTTGAATCCAATCGTCACAAATTTGAAAGTTTTCGAGATCCTATACGGAAATGCAATACAACCCAGCGCGAAATTGTCTTGTTTAATCTCCACTGTGCAATGTGTCACGTCACACAAGCTGTTATTCTTGATTGGCGGGCAGCTACAGGCCACCACTTGTGCTACGGACTTCGGAAATTCGCGCCTCGAGTTAGGAGTTATTCCGCTGGTGGCTGCGACCCTACGGTTTATAGCCAATCTGTTGGTCCCTCCCTCCCTCCCTCCCTCTCTCTCTCTCTCTCTCTCTCTCTCTCTCTCTCCCTCTCTCTCTCTCTCTCTCTCTCTCTCTCTCTCTCTCTCTCTCTCTCCAATCAGCCCTACCCACCCTTCTCTTTCTCAACCTCACCCTCCGTCACATCCCCTCTCTTTCATTTCTCTCCCCTCTCTCTCTCTCTCTCTCTCTCTCTCTCTCTCTCTATACCTCCTCACTCTCCCAAGCCCTCTCTCCGCTCCTCCCGGGAGGACTGGCCAGTTGGGTGACAATCTGGCCGGCGCGGCCGAGCGGTACGATCGATCCGACGCCGTGGCGCACCGCCCCCACGCCCGCTCCCCCTCCCCACCCCCTCACAAAGACCAGATGCATTCGCAGAGGGCTGCCCACTGTTTGGGATCAATACTCAGCTGATGTCCGGAAGGACGTCGCCGACGCGAACAAACGTCTCGGGTGTATTTTTCATATTTTATTTATAAATTATTCGAGGCAGTCCTTACATCTTTTGTGGATGGTCTTCCGAGTTCAGAACCCGCCCTGAGCAGTGTTTGTTGTACTTACAAGATACGACCTCAGCCCGGTTGGAAAATCAAGGTTAAAAGGCAAAGTTAAAAGTGTTCTTTCCATCCCAAGGGTGCCCACGTAGGGACAGCGCCGTCGCTCCGCTCACTGATTTCACCTGGTCGACGCGATCGCTTCCTCTCACCGCAGATAATCCCGTCAGGAGCCATTATCGAGCGACGTAGTGGCTCGATCCCGAGTGCCCTGCAGTCATGAGATATTTATCCCACCACCTGGGCTACCGGGGGCCTCAGCAGTGAGGTGATCTTATTGGTTTTCTGGCTGAACGAATCGCATATAAGTTGAGCTGAGGGTGTGATAATCGATATTCGCAACAAGTGTAGTTGCCTCCCTCACATTTTGCTTGTGTGGTTGGTGGTCTTGGGGCCAAATTTCTTATCTGGATCAGCTTACATATCAGATTCAGGACATATTAGCAAAATCCCCCCACCCCCCAAAAAAAAAACTCCTAACGACAACGTTTCTTTTCACGCGACGTTGTAGTTCTTAGTATACGAGCTATAATGATCAGTGAACTAAACGCTTGCAGCTATTTAGACCGGAGGCCGTGTTATGATGAAGGAGCGTAAAAACGGCCACTCGTGCCTCGACGATCAAGACACCACCATGGCCCGCGCAACTGACAAAAGGAGAGTGGCTGCTTGTAAGGTAAATTATCGATCATGGCTATATCATGTGCTGTATTCACTCACAATTATTATCTTTGCTACATAAGCGGTATTTGACTAGTAAAGCGTGATGCCGAATTCCTTCAACACCACTCTCGTTCTCTAAGCGTTCAGAAACAATAAAACAAGCCATTTGAGAATCGGCAGACCAATGCATACGTGGATGGTACGCACATCCTTACGTATTATTATTGTACTATTAGCTCAGTGGCACATGACCATATGCCGGCTGTGATCCCGTGTGCCCCCCGGGCCCCAGACAGAGTTGTTGTCACAAATAACACTGGTCTCTCCTCGCCAGAGCGCCGTGGCCGTTGTCCGCGCGGAACACATCGAGCGGAAAGATGTCTTCACCTCGCCCTCACTGCTGGAAGGGGGTAGTTCGCAGCATGTGACAAAATGTTGAGCGAGTTTTGGCAACGGATAGTGAATATCTTCTTTAAATAAAATACTTGATTATCATTTAGACATTTAGATTGGTCAAGACATCAAATGCATTTTTTTTCAGTCATCTAGCCAGGGTTCATATAATGCATTTTTACTGAAGTTTAAATTAGTTACAATTTACAAATCTGCTCGTAGCTCTTTATAGCTCGTTAGTCATCATGGCCAATGATGTATTGTTTGTTACGCATTGTTTTTTAGACCTGTTTCCCTCTATACCTGTCCCATTTTGCCAGACCTGTCTTGGCGCGAGTTACCGGTGGCAATACCTAGATAAGTAAAGTTCGCTTTTCTTTCACAAAATTGGTCATATGAGAGTTCTAGGAGCGATTCGGGCGTTGCGTACTAGAGAGTCAGCCTTCTCCCAGCGGTTACGGTCGGGTTACGGATGGGTTTCTCATGGGTTACTGCTGGGCTACGGTTGGGTTCCTTACGGGTTACGGTTGGGCAGCGGGCTGATCTAGCGTCCCGGCGAGTCGCGTGCCAGTGGATGTTTAGTTTAGCCCATTGGAACAGTCCAACTGCAGGGTCTGAGTTATTGGGCGCCATTATTGTATCATCAGTCGTTTACCTCCTGGTCCCGAAGGAGGAAATTTGCAATATTACCAACACCGTTCAGTTTATTTCATTTTCCCACGGCATGTGAAGTGAACTCGAATATATGAACAGATGAGGAAGCAAGTGATGGCCTGGCAACAGTTATTGTGTTCACTTCAGCTATCTGCAACTCTTGAGAAGGGAACGCTTGCGGTGTTCTGTCATACCCCGTCACATCCACCAATCATATTTTCTTCAACGTCGTGAGTCGCTGATCACACATCCCACCAGTTATAAACTGGCCACAGGCCAGGCGTTTCAGCACTTCGTAATAATTCGTCGCCACATCCAACAGTCAGCTCCGTCCGTTACATTTATCCAACCCATCCCTTTGAATTATCTATCCAGCATGCTCTCCGTTATATTCCTGTCACCACTGTCTTTGTGACATCCCTGCAGGCCTTGCGCATCCCTCCGTCATATCCCTTCACACATCCCTCCGTCATATCCCTTCACGCATCCCTCCGTCATATCCCTTCACGCATCCCTCCCTCATATCCTCCGTCGCATTCCTTCATCCCATCCCTCCATGACATCCCTCCCACATCCCCCGTCACATCCTTTCGTCACATTCCTCCGTCATATTCCTCCGTCACATCCCTCCGTTGTAATCCATCCGTCACACCCCTGCCCACATCCCCTTCTTCACCTCCCTTCGTCACATCCCTACGAAGCACGTCACCTCCTTCGTTACATCCCTCCGTAGCACGTCACCTCCCTTCGTCACATCCCTCCGTAGCACGTCATCTCCCTTCGTCACATCCCTACGAAGCACGTCACCTCCTTCGTTACATCCCTCCGTAGCACGTCACCTCCCTTCGTCACATCCCTCCGTAGCACGTCACCTCCCTTCGTCACATCCCTCCGTAGCACGTCACCTCCCTTCGTCACATCCCTCCGTAGCACGTCACCTCCCTTCGTCACATCCCTCCGTAGCACGTCACCTCCCTTCGTCACATCCCTCCGTAGCACGTCACCTCCCTTCGTCACATCCCTCCGTAGCACGTCACCTCCCTTCGTCACATCCCTCCGTAGCACGTCACCTCCCTTCGTCACATCCCTCCGTAGCACGTCACCTCCCTTCGTCACATCCCTCCGTAGCACGTCACCTCCCTTCGTCACATCCCTCCGTAGCACGTCACCTCCCTTCGTCACATCCCTACGTAGCACGTCACCTCCCTTCGTCACATCCCTCCGTAGCACGTCACCTCCCTTCGTCACATCCCTCCGTAGCACGTCACCTCCCTTCGTCACATCCCTCCGTAGCACGTCACCTCCCTTCGTCACATCCCTCCGTAGCACGTCACCTCCCTTCGTCACATCCCTCCGTAGCACGTCACCTCCCTTCGTCACATCCCTCCGTAGCACGTCACCTCCCTTCGTCACATCCCTCCGTAGCACGTCACCTCCCTTCGTCACATCCCTCCGTAGCACGTCACCTCCCTTCGTCACATCCCTCCGTAGCACGTCACCTCCCTTCGTCACATCCCTCCGTAGCACGTCACCTCCCTTCGTCACATCCCTCCGTAGCACGTCACCTCCCTTCGTCACATCCCTCCGTAGCACGTCACCTCCCTTCGTCACATCCCTCCGTAGCACGTCACCTCCCTTCGTCACATCCCTCCGTAGCACGTCACCTCCCTTCGTCACATCCCTCCGTAGCACGTCACCTCCCTTCGTCACATCCCTCCGTAGCACGTCACCTCCCTTCGTCACATCCCTCCGTAGCACGTCACCTCCCTTCGTCACATCCCTACGTAGCACGTCACCTTCCTCCACCACATCCCTGCGTTACATCCCTCCATCATAATCTTACGTAGTAGTGCGTCACATCCCTCCATTAGCCCTCGCCCGCACATGGGGGGGGGGTGGTTGCCACCCCCCCCAGGCAGTCTTTCTGCTCTGCACTCAACATTTTTAGAGCTAGAAAGCTGATTTTTGGTATAGCTGCTCGTCTATCCTTTCTTGATGTCCACTGAAAATTTCAAGTTTCTGTGATTTTTGGTTTCGGAGATATGACCTTGTTTTTCAGGTCATGTCATGACCCAAATGGCCAATTCTCAACATCTTGCGTTTGCCATGGGCCTTGTGAGCTTTTGACACCCTGATTTCGGCCTTTTTTGCCAGTCTTACCTCCCACCTATCATGGAACATGTTGTTCGACGATGTACAGGGGTCAAGGTCAGCGTCAAGGTCAACCTAGGTCATCTAAGATAATTGCGTTTTAGGCAAGCTGAATTTACTTTTTGTGAAGTTTTTTTGACTGCATTTTTGGTAAAAGCTTCTCAGATCATGATTTCATGTGATATGGACCCAAAAACAATCGGTGCACACATCAGTATACACACAGACACACACACACATACAAACACATATAATTGACCTTGACCTAACTTGACCTGAAATGACCTCAGCAGCAAAATTCTGGTCGGATAGTGTGACAAAGAGGTTCTAGCTGGCTTGGCACCAGAAAACAGCAGCGTCATCGGTATTTGATAAGCAGCGCACTTGATATCCAACAATGACCCAAAACAGCAACATTTTTTAGTTTGACCTGACCTGGAAGGTCAATGACTGACCTGAGAAGGTAAAACTGGGTATCATTGGATTCGTCTCTTCCCAAAGAATCTTTTTGGTCTTTACTGCTAAGCTCTATCTCCAACAGGAACGAAATGGCGCGGGGGGGGTGGCAACCACCCCCCCCCCCCCATGTGCGTTCTAGGATGGGAAAATGGCATGTGCGGGCGAGGGTTAGATCTCACCATCCCCAAGACCATCCCATCCCTCCCCACATCCCTCCCCACATCCTCCGTCACATCTCCCGCCACATCCCTCCCCGCATACTCCGTCACATCCCTCGGTCCAAATCCCTCCGCCACGCCCCTCCGTTATATCAGCGGCTCGCCCCGTCAAATCCCGTCTTCAGCAGCCGCTGAGCACGTCACCGTCGTCTCAGTTGTGGTCGGCGGTGCATTCAGCCGTGGCCGATCGCCTCAGAAAATAGGGCACGGCCAAGGTGGCTTAATGAATTTCCCCGGCCATGCAATCAAAAGTTGGCGCTCTGCTCAGGAAATGGTGATGGTAGTTTCGGTCAGGGATCGGGAATGTCGCAGCAGATAATGTGAGTCTGTGCTGCAGAGACCGCCCCGCTGGATTCGCGGCTTCCAAGAGTCAGAGGGGCTCCGCTCATCATTTTGAACGGCGTCGCATATGTGACGCTTTGAAAATGGAAATCACTGAGGTTGGTGGAACTTGGAAGATAATGGAACGAAGAAGAGCTTGGCATCATTTCGAATGCATATGCTTGCCGAGCAACGACACTGCTTTATATTTTGCATAATGCATAATCATATTATTTCGTATCATTCTAGTTAAATATGCAGGTGACATATTCCTTGCCATTCGAGAGTCATTTGATGTGTTCACTTTAAGTTCTCCGTTTTTTGTCTTATATTTTGTTGATGCAAAACAGTCGTTTTATTAAGTGTGCTTCGTACGAGAGCCATATAACTTTATTGTTACGACTTCCTTGAGCCTCAATCATCATCAAGTGCGCTCCGTCCCTGTTTCCAACTGTAGCTCGCAACTTCGAGAAGCTGCAGTTTTGCCTATTAGTCGGAGGCTCCTTTATCTTGGAGCGGCGCAGTCAATTTCCCGCGATATTGGACTTATAATAGACGTAATTGAGATGAAGTGCCACGCAAGTTTCATTCTACAAACAAAAGGCAGCACAAAGTATAAACTGACACTCGTAAGTGCCTACACAGTCAGAGGGCAAACATTTCCCAGAACTCATACATCCCGTCGCCATTTTGCACAAGCCGTACGAACAATCTCACCTCTCAGCGATCGACACATTTCATGTGAGTCACATCTGACCACCTACCGGTAGCCGGTGTGTAGATGTTGAGGAAGAGGCAGTCCTCGCTCTCGTCGGTGAGGAACTGTCGGAGCCGCAGCAGCCGCTCGTAGCGCTCTGCCGGCATGGTGAGCAGCGCCGCCGTCCGGTTGCTGAGGTCGGGCAGCTGCTGCGGGCACACGGGACGGAAGTAGCGGCCGTCGCGCACCCCCGACCAGCTCGGCGGCGACGTGGGCGGCATGAAGCGCGTGGGCGGCGCCGCGTACGGCAGGCCCAGGTACGCCTCGACGGGCGGCAGCCGCGGCCCGTTGTGCACCTCGACGCCCTGCACACTGCCGCGCCGGGTGCGGATCACGCGCGACGGCTTGCCCTGCGGCGCGCGGCCGCGCTCGGCGGCCCCACTGGCGGCCAGCAGCGCCAGCAGCAGCGGCACCATGGCCAGCAGCGGCGGCCGCTCCATGGTGATGTCGGCAGGTCGGCGCGGTCACATGGCGGCCGGTCGGCGCGCCGCTGGCCACTGGCTGCCGGTGGGTCGATACGGCGCTGCTGCGCCGATCCCGGCGCTGCAGCCGCGCAGCGCTGGCGGCCCGGCGCGTCCGTGGACCGAGATGAGCTCTCCCGGAGACGGCCGCCGCTGGGCAGCCGGGCCCGCCGCCGGCGCTGCAGACCCGTCAGCCGACGGATACGGACACCGAACACCGCCGATAACCAGCGTCACCGCGCCCCTACAAACGGACTCTCTACATAGAGTTGATGCTGAAATTTTGAAGAAAGAAAATGAAATCTTCGAATTACAGTGTTCAGTTATGTTAATGATTATTTGAGTTTAAAACTCCAAACAAAAGAAGTAAAAGTTGAAGCATAAGAGTGAAGATCGCTAATGTTTTTCAACGTTGATTTCCCAATGCACTTGATCGCTCTTCCACTCTCCCTTTTTGCAATGGGCATGCATCACTTACACGCCCCAAAAGTCCATAACATAGCTAGGTATGTTATATTTTTCCAGTAAACGACATGCTTTTCGCCGTATAGTTGAACAAAAAGCCTATATTTATTGCTGAGCGAATCTCCAAAATCTGCCAATGGGACGAATTCTCCCACACTGTCGCTCAGTGTGACCCGGTCTTGGTGTCTGGCCCGATGGGCCGCGTCCCACCTGGCCGTGGACCCATTCCTGCGCGGTCGGGGGCAGTGTTTATGACTCCATCAGACCACCAAATGGTTCTTATCTGCGCACAGCCCTCTCTCGTGGTGGCCAACTCGGACCATGTTTTGAGTAACAACATAACGAGCTTTCGCACCCAGCTAATGCTTAAGTGATTTTACATTCCTATAGGAATGTAAAATCACTTCGTCCTCTCCGATGTGGCGCCCGATGTGGGCGCCGCCTGATGGCTCTTACCCCGTCTTCCGCCCTTTGCAGAACAAACAATCTGCCATTGACCAGAATGCCCCAAGCTCTGACCTATCTAGCGCCTTGAGCTTGTCTAGGCCCCCGGTGACCTGGAATGGGACGGTTCACCCATGGCTCCCAGCGGTGTGCTCAATTATGGTGATGACCGCCTCCGCGGTGCAGCCTGCGTGTGGGCGACCTTTAGTGACCTGTACTCTATGACACCGACAGAGGGACTCATTGGCAGCTAACTATGGAGATAGAGTGCACTCAAGATCTTCGCCAGCGCACCATGAACGTCCAGTCTCTGAAGTGCAATGACCGGAAGTCGACTCCCACAGTATGTATGGGGCGGCGTCACTGGACTGGGTCGCGCCGGGAATCCAGTCAAAGAAAATTAATATGCTAGCTTTGGCCAGTGGTGATTCACGTCAGACGAAATCCCCGAACCCATGACACTGTGTCGACTCAGTTTTATCTGTATGACCTTTGACATTTCACTATGATAATTAATACTATTAAAGGGCTGTTTTCACCAGCGTTCTAATTCTGCAAAACAATGACATAGTTGATTTGCATCTGAACCTGCGAATTGAGTCATGTGAACGATGTGAACCCCTCTGCGCTCTGACGCCATATCAGAACGCGCGAGTGGCTTTGTCGGTTCTTGCATTCTTGGCTGCCACGCCTCGTTAGCTTGAACATTCGAACCCCTCGGCCGCACCCAGCCGTCCGCCACCATCCGTGACCTGCGAGCGACCGCCCTCGCCGCATTCTGCCAGCGTTCGCGGCTCTGAGCTCTGACAAATACCGGGCGCCACCGCCACTGGAGCGGTGCGTGCTACCGCGCTGTCACGATATCGCGGGCGGATCTCCCCAGGGTAGCCAGACTGGCGTCAGCGCTGCGCAACTTGCCGCATAAGGCGAAAAGCCCAGAAAGCCGAAAGGCAGGCGAAATGCAAATGCAGGACGCCAATTTGTTTGTCTTTATGCATTACAGCATTCTCTCGAAATCGGAGGAGCTCTTTGCTAAACGGTTCCCTATTGAAACTTTGTTCATCACCACTTGTCTTCAGTGATCTTTATTTGCTTCTTTAAATTTGCTTGTCATTCAATTATATGCTGACGGTGACGACACCATCAGTTTCAGACTAAAAGTTGTCTCAAGCAGAGCTAGTTTGTACTTTGTAAGCTCGGTGGCTCACTTTAGTCTCACTTCACAACTGTTTCCGTTCCAGTGGTCTTAAAGTTAACAGCATCAAATTGGACCTGCTCTGCATACCTACACTTACAACACAAGCTTCACGACTGTCGAGGCCGATCAGTTTACGTCGAGGCCGATCAGCCTTATCTCATTCTCTTTCAGTTTTAACGAGGTCTTTGTACGCTTGGATAAAAAATAACGTTCCGATGCTATTAAAGACTTTTAGTTAACCAGGCATCGCAAATGTGTTGCAACATCTTCATTGATATATTCTTGGTCCTTCTACCCTCATCGATATCTTCTATATCAGATCTATCATGTGGCCTATCGACTGACCACCAGTATTTAATCCAGCTCCAGTCTTGATCGGCTCGAGCGGAGGGTGCGGAGCGGGGGTCGCCGCTGCTCCACAGGTCCCGGGGGACGTCTGTTTGTCTGGCGCATCTGTGGCCACCTCCCGAGACCCTGCGCCCTCCATCGGTGGACCCGCCTCCGCCGCTCGGCCGTCCGGCGGCGCCACTGGGTGCATGGGCGACTCAGAGGCCGCAGCGGTCGGTGCCAGGCTAAGGCTGGGTTGTCTTCTATCGTTGGGTGCTGAACAGTGAACGGTAATGCTAATTGCGCTGCAGGCTGTCCTAAATGATATCAGCACTGAGTGCTATAAATCGTGACTTGACATAAAGGTCACTTGTTCTCATGACTCATACTGACCGCTCTTACGACTTCCAAGGCATTAAGAATGGAACTTAGCGTCTGTAGAGGCTGAAGAGTGAATTGAGCCATGGTCCACGGTCGTGCCATATGGCGCACTTACTGTAAAATTTAAGTTTAGTAATGAATACACGGCACAGGTAGAGCTTCAGAGGGACCGGGGTACTCTGCACTATTACGGGATGAAAATTGCCAAAAGATCTGCCCATTTGAGCGCGCTATCAGACAAGCGATCCAAGGCTCGGTCCCTTGATAGTTCCATAAGACTAGGATCCAAAGTTTGGTCCCTGGATAACTCCATCAGACCAGTGGTCCGAAGCTTGCTCCTTGGATAATTTTATCAGACCAGCGGTCCGAATCTCACGGTGATCAGACCAATAATGGTCAAAGCTCCAAAGATAATGCCACATCAGCGGTCCAGAGCACGGTCGTTAGATAATTTCATCAGACCAGCAGTCCAGGGCTAGGCCCCTGGAAAATTCCATCAGACCAGAAGTCCAGATCTTGGTACTGGATGATTCCATCAGACCAGCGGTCCAGAGTTAGCGGTGATCAGACCAGTGGTTCAAAGCTCGGTCCCTGCAGAACTCCATCAGACGAGCTGCGGCGCCGAGCGCCGGAAATGGTTCCAGCCGGGCTTACGGCGAGCAGCGGCGTCTGCCTGCCCGTAAAATGGACCCAAATTGAAAAGATCGACTATTGAGTGAACAAAATTACACCGCCGTTTTCCGTTTTAGGTTCCTTTAATCAGTTTAGAATGCACTGTGCTGGTGAGGCCTCGTCCTGCCCGCACTGGCGTGTTTTTACTAGCCTAAACGTGCTTGTTCTCTCGGGCCGAGTGACAGAGTGCAGTGGCAATGACCCCGCATGCCTTTCGCACTATGCATGTGTTCAAAATCAGCTAACCTGTATGAGCAATGAGCATTCATCACACTCTGCCTCTGGCAAATAACGACCGGCGTGCCGAACTCTCCCTCCAATTTCTTCCCCTCCCCTCCGCTGTACCTCTTCTTCCCTCCCCCCTCTCTCTCTCTCTCTCTCGCTCTCGCTCTCTCTCCCTCCAATTTCTTCCCCTCCCCTCCGCTGTACCTCTTCTTCCCTCCCCCCTCTCTCTCTCTCTCTCTCTCTCTCGCTCTCGCTCTCTCTCTCTCTCTCTCTCTCTCTCTCTCTCTCTCTCTCTCTCTCTCTCTCTCTCTCTCTCTCTCTCTCTCTCTCTCTCTCTCTCTCTCTCTCTCTCTCTCTTTATCTGGTCTCTCGTCTCTATGTTACCCCACTCTCCTCCCTCTACCCTTTGCTCTTCTCCCCATAGCGTGCATCCGCTGGAACCGTGTATCCGTCGGTCGGGCCGTGTACGGATGTGTGAGTACGCGAAACATTGCCATCTAAATTCCCTCGACATCCCGGAATTTCCGATCGGTCGATAGAGGTCACGGGCCGCCGGTGCGCAGCGAGCTCAGTTTAGCGCGAGCTCTGGTTTCGTCGATTCGTCAGCATCCAAAACACATCGAATTCCGTCGAAATTTCCCTTAAATGCGAAATGCGTGAAGAACGATGTCAAGCTGACAAGTATGTTGGCCCGTTCAAAAATGTCGGCCACCTCTCGACATGGCGCGATGGCCAAGTGTCTAGATAGCTGATCTTTACACCGTGCCACTGGTGTCTCTTAGCATTCCTCGCTAGAAACGGCACCTCGGTTTGTCGGTTGATGGTGCGTGTTGTTTTCTTTTGGTATAAGATATCACGCTATTCATTTAATAATAACAAATGCTAGCGTGTTGCATTAGATGTAGTATTTGTTGCTGTCCGCTGAGCAGCAGCTGTTGGAACCTCTGAGCTGTGATCGCCGGAGGCCGGTGACTGCGGTCATCCCGGCCGCTCTCCACAGATCCCGGTGAGCGCCCGGTCGCCGCCGCAGGGGCGCCCGTCTCCCGGTCCGGCTCGTCCGGTGGCTGCCGGCCGCCGGCGCGCCTGCCAAGGGGCGCTAATTTTAGCCACGAGTCTCGGGAGGGCGGCGGCCGGCGACGCGTCCCCAGTGTTCACCACGTGCGGCCGTGTTTCGCCGGCGCATGTGTGGCTCCGCTGAGCGCGCGGCACGTGCCGGAGTGTGCTGGCCGCGGCGGCCCGTGCTCCGCCGGCCGGCAGCGTCCAGGACCGGCCGGCACCCGTCCGCCGCCGGTCCCAGCTCCCTGCGAGCAGACGAGGTGCTGCGCTGGGCGATCCAGGAGAGGTGCTGAGGCTGAGCCATGTGACGGCCATGCGGACGGCCGGCCTGCTGGTGCTGGTGGTGGCGGCCGCCGCTGGCCTCGCGCGCGACCAGCTGGTGGAGACCAGCGTGGGCCCCCTGCGCGGCCTACTCTCGCCGGTGGTCGACGTCCGCCTGCCGCGCGTTATGCAGTTCCTGGGCGTGCCGTACGCCTCGCCGCCGGTCGACTACCTCCGCTTCATGCCGCCCAAGACGCCGATCCGCAAGTCGGAGGTGCTGAACGCCACTCGCCTGCCGGCCGGGTGTCCGCAGCGCGAGCCGGCGGCCGGCAGCCGCCGCCAGGCAGGGCCGGCGCCGCCGCAGAGCGAGGACTGCCTCTACCTCAATATCTACGCGCCGGTGACCGAAGGTAGGTCACGCCAGTAACCGAAAGTAGACCGCTCTAGTGACCGAACGTAGACTGCGCCGGTGGCTGAAGGTATAAGGCCGCGTCAGGGTGCGTCAGCGACGGAGGCCGAAGTAGGCTGCACCAGCGACCGAAGTTGGGCCGGCACGCGTTGGAGACACAAGTTTATGGAGGACAGTCGCCAGCATAAATGTTTGGCATAAAATGCCTACAACATCGGCTCTCCAGGGAGCTGAATGTGTGATATTCTAGCTATGTGATTCAACTACGCATTTGTGTTGACCACATCCTCAAATAAAAGTTTCAACACATTGAAGCCTAACATTTATCCATAATGCTCAACATTATCAAAGAAGAATTTCATTAGCTGTAGGTGTGGTGTTCACTGACGTACTTCTACTCATCTCAAATACCATGGTTGACAAGAGGAACTAGCTGGAGATAAGGGTAAGACAACAATGGTCGGCCTTTTAATGCTGTTGAACAAAAACTTCGAATTAGGCGCACTCATTTTCTTTGTCCCTTTTATAACATTTGAAGTTGATGAAATTGTGCTCCTTTCCTTACAGGTAATTATATATACTCGTATGTAGCTGGCGTGTCCCTTGTGTCTGTCTTCCAAATCTATCAATGCTATTTTGTAATTTGTAAACAATATTAAATGCGCTTTAGTAGGTATGTGTTTATTGAATTATCGGTAATTTGGCAACCACCCGTCGCCATGCCCATCCGTTGCGCCTTCAAGGGCATCGCATAAAAACGACACCAATGGTCTAGTCGGCAATAATCGCCGATGGATGGTCGGGTTGCAAGAGCTATGCTTCGCAATATTATCTCAGAAGTCAGTCAATCGATATTTGATATCCGTTAACACAGCAAATATTTAATCCAGATTCAGCTACCTACCTCGGATCGACTCGAAACTCGCAAACCATGGAGCCCTTGGGGTAGAAAGTGTGTACTTTCGTAAATTACACTGATCAACAGCCAAAAATGTACAGAGAGGTGAGCATTCGTTTCTACCTAATTCGAGGCCGCTGATTCCAAATCTGGTCACCGTTTTGCCCCATCGGGCTCAGTTTTTTGTCTGGCACATACTGATGCCTTAAATTCTCACTTTTTATGCATTGTTGTTGGCCTATTGTAGATATCCTTAGATCTAGATTATATATCTTTTTAATCCATATTTACCACAGCCAGGCAACACAGATGAGCACAAAACTATTGAATTTGTTGGAACAGAAATGTATATCACACATCACAGCGCAATGTAGGTAATCACATATTGTACAATCACGGCAAAGTGCAATCAACCAACGGTGTGGTCATCCATCTGTGCTACCTCTCGACCACACAGGCAAGATTTTTGGTCATTTCAAACACTTTGGCATCTTCCTTTCGCTCAGCAACTCTTCTTGTTAGAATCGCTTCTGATTCTTGGTTTGTCTCCTCCCCTGCTGACGTTCCTCTCTCTGCAGTGTCCAGCAGTAATCACCCATCATATTGGGACCAGACTTGCCCTGATATCTGCTCTCCATCACGGCGATGTCCTGATGGAACCTCTCCCCATGCTCGTCACTGACGTCTCCAAGATTTTCCGAAAGTAAATTGGATCACTAGCCATGTAATATAAAGACAGAATAACAAGCTGAGTACATGCACCTAAGAAAAGGACGCAAACATACTGTAATGCCAAAACCTAACACGATACCCCATTTCTAGTGCCAGATTCGTATTTTGCACCCTAAATTACCCCAGACACAGAACTTTTTCCTTCGAAGTCACCGGCAATGTCATATAAAAGAAGAGTGAAATGTTGAAAATAGCCATTCAGAGCAGATACACAGACATACTGGATCTCAAAAACCTAGCCTGATACGCCATTTCTGATGCCAGATTCGTGTTCAGCGTCACAAATTACCACAGAAATGGGTACTCTGCTTTCTGTACTATGACAAAAGTCAAATTTTGTTGTTCAGTGTTATTCAAGTCATCTAGCCGTTTGACCTGCAAGAGGTGAATAAAGGTCACGGTCCCAAATCGGTGCATTTTTTCTCGCCCAGTAGAGCTTAAGCGCTGAAAATGACCCTGTACGACCTGCACCATGCCATTGCCCTACGTAAATAAATTCCGTCGCTTTGAATTTTACCTCTAAATGCCATGCGATGGTCTATAAGGTCATTGGCAAATGGCAGACCATGTCGAAAGAAAATACACTTGCATAGCAACTCTTGAATGCACGAACTAGGAATAATTGCAATCGATAGCACATCAGTTGATAAACATAAGTGGTTTTTCTGTATAAGTGGCTTTTCGAGCAAACTTCTAGCGAATAAGTGACCTCGTTTGGCCTCAGTAGCATTAGATGTTGAAAAAATCGACGCGACGCTTTTAGGTTCAAGCTCAGATTCATCCCAGTTTCGGGACATTGTTATCGGTTGATAGGTACTGCTGGTTATCGGTTGATAGAGTCGTGTTCGAATGCCTAGACCCGAATTTGCACTTTTGTCGATTTGTACCGGGAGTTCCCGAAAAACGGACGTTTTTACTTTTTTCTAAAATGTCTTTGAATTATATCATCGAGGAAATTGTTTCATCAACTGAAAGCCAGTGCGATGTTGTTTGATGCTAATTTTACTTACGAAGCCATGCAAAAAAGCGTAGAAACAAACAAGTTACTATATTTGTAGTTCAAGGCGAAATATGCTGGCAATAAATTTGGAGATGTTTCAACTCGTAGAAAGCGCCACCAATAACCGCAGTTTTGAGCTGGAAGAGTATAGCCATGTTTAATAAACGGAAGCGTCGCAAACATGTGCAAGGCAAGAAATGATCGATATCGAACCCGGAGAACACCTGAGAGGACACGAGATTTGGATCATTTTTTCATTTCATGCTTTGAGATCATTTTTGCTTTGAGAATAAGGTGGGCTGGAGCGAGACACCGAACGCCCAGCGGTACATAGCAATGCTGTTCAGGTTTTGGACGGCTCTAAAGAGGAAAATGGGAGTTAGTGTCCGGCTGCGACAGAGCCTGTGTATGCGGCCGGGTGGAGCAGCCGTTCAAACGACCGTCGCAACCTGTAACTGGGTTCGACGCGCTTCGGGGAGACGCGGCTGCAGTCTCTCGGCTGAATATGAGCGCATGGTACCTGTATTATGCGGACCTCAACGCCCCTAGATTTGTTATCTGGGGACATCTCGAGATTTAGGTGTACTGGATGAAAAGGAAAACCATCAGCGAGCTGAACAATCAGGATAGTGCGCGGTTCGGGGCATTGACCGGACATGTGCCGCGCGGAGGTGGCACCAGTGACTCACGCCCGTCTTCTGTCTGTAGCGTTTTGGAAGTCTCATGGACAATGGGCTGTGCGGTCGGCTCCGAGCCTGCAACACAGTCATGAGTAGTATCATCCCACAAATAACCTTGAATATACCATAGTTTGGTGCGATTTTGAATTTTCATGGTTTACAAAATAGACGAATTTTAAATCCGTCTGCTTCTTCGGGAACTCCGATCTCCGGGTATGCGTTTATTCAACTCAGGATGTGGTCAATTAAAATATGAGGTAACAATCATCTTAGCAGCCCTGAGAGTCCCTCGCCGGCAGAGGGACAAAAAAAAAACTGGCGTAAAAAGCGGCCAATTGTGACGAAACATTCAGTACCCTCACGTTAATCAATTTTACACCTACCTACCCTGTAACTTTTATGACCCTGTCCCAAATGACCTTTGACCTGTGACCTACTTTTCGAGACCGTGTTTGGCCGGAATCGCGATTCGGCGTATGTCGGCTCGCATTAGCCGCGCGTTTGCAGTCTTTTCGTGGCCTCAAGAGTTCGAACATGTGATATGATGCTGCTCCCATGAATAAGGATGGGTGACAAGGTTACGTGAAGGTCAGGTCAGGTCATTGACCCTTGATGACATCGGTCCACTTTTTCCAGTTTTACATGTTTTAAGGCTAGTTTTTGGAGCTGAATTCGAATTAAGCAACCATTTGAACATTTATGAAGTACCTAGTTCTGGTGCTTTCGTTACATGTTACGAAGCTGTCAGAGGCCGTTGACACCTACTACCTACGAATAGCCGGCAGGACCCTACTGGTTGACCTGACCTGACCTGACCCGGCCTAAATGCATGAAGACAACATCTGTGGTCAAAACCAGCATGATATTCGTGATGAGCACCCTGAAAACCCCATATCAGCCACACTTTACGACGTTCTAACAGGTCCCGATTTTCCCGACTTTTGGGTCATTGACCTGACCTCAGGGGTCACCATTTGACCTATGACCTTAAAATTGGGTACCGTTGGCTTATTCTCGTGACGACCTACACAAACGCGAGGGGGTCTTCCCCCCCCCCCCCTTGTGCCGTCGAAGGACGCAAAATGGCCTGTCCCGGCGAGGGTTAACAAAGTATGAGGCGAAATTGATCAAAAGTAGGTAAGTGACCATTTCCCGCGAATGCCTGCGTCATGCAAGACCCGCTGTATGTCAAGGTCATTCAAGGTCACACGAGGTCATTCGAAATCAAATAATGTCAACACAAAACATTTACTATTTCCGAACGAGAAGTGCATGTTGGATTCGACCCGCCTTGACACAAAAAAAAAAATGGTTGGGGCCTATTCTTCCCTCTTTCGCTGAAGTTGTCGACGGAAAAGTTGAGCTTATTTTCAGTCTCATCAACCCGAGATCAATAGTTGATCTGAGACATCCGAATTGGGAAGGTAACTACGGTTCGATTCTTGTGAGTGTTCGCGCTCCGATTTTCTACATTAACATTCCTTATTTCGTATAAGTATGCATTACGTGCTGATATAGGTAGGTATGTACCCACGCGCATTCTTGTCGATGGGGAGCGGCATGTTCGCTATCAGATTTGTATATTCCTTATTTCGTCAAGTTATCACGCGCCTACGCGTATGTCAGGGACCTGTCACACCGAGGCAATACTCGGTATTTACATATCATAAGCCTGTCACACTTTTTACCCT